TACTGAAATAAAGAAAATTTTAACTTAAAATCTATTTGGACACACAAATAAATATTTTAAGTAAAGATTTTTTTAAAGGATTTTAAACTAAAAAATATGCTTGAAACTGAAAATAAAAAAAATACACTAAAAACAAAATTAGAAAATAACAATTCAATCCAGAAAAAAAAAATGCTGGCCCCATGGCGGGGGGGCGGAGCTTACCGTATGTTATGTGAGGGGTGGAATGATAGCTGAGAGCTTAGATGTCTGGACAAGATATTTTCTTCTGTTTCATTCAGGAACCGTGGGAAAAAGAAATGTCTTTAAAACCTCATGAATATGCTGCGTTTATGTAAAAGGTTTTTAAAAAGTAAAAACTGCCTCACTGATCTGAGCAGTGAAGCTGATATTGACCAATATGAGGAACGTTTTCAGTCCTTGTTGGATGCTTCCCATCCTTTCAAAATAAAGCAGAAGAGCCGTCAGACTGATTACAGTACAATCATCAGATCAGTGAAGTGAAGTGACCGATGAACAAACCAAATACCCATGATTCTTTAGAGTATTTCTAGTTCCCACGGTTTCTGAATGCAACAGCTTGGAATATTTTGTCCAGGTGCCTTCACTTGCAATCATCAATCCACACCCCATAACATCTAAGCCCCTCCCCAATAAGAGGGACCAGCAGTTTGAAACTGGGGCAAAAAAAAATCTGATTTTTTTTTTTTTTTTTTTTAACATATGTTTTCAGTTTTAAATCCTTTTTTTTTTCAGTTTACAAATATCAAATATAAGTTTTTGATCAAACTTCATGGCCCTAGTTGGGCTCCATGGCTCTTAGGACATCAGCCCAAACACTCAGGCAGTTAAAGTACCTGCTCTCAATCTGTTGAACGATCTTCATGGTTCTTCTTGGTTCAGTGCCAAAGGTTCAGTTTAAGGAGGGCAGCTACAAGGTGGACGAATCAGATGGTGAAGTGAGAGCCATAATATACCGCAGCGGCGACATCAGCCTCAGATCCACGGTGCGCTGCTACACCCGGCAGGGCTCCGCTCAGGTAATGATGGACTACAGCGAGAGGCCGAATACGGAGGCGTCCATCATCACCTTCCTGCCAGGTGCGAAGTCACCAAGTCTCCTCCCTCCTCACCCATCCTTACTGTTGTCCTAACTGAATGTTTTCTGCTGTTCTAGGAGAGTCAGAGAAGCCATGTGTGGTTGGCCTGATGGACGACTCCATTCATGAGGAAGAGGAGGAGTTCCGCCTGGTGCTGGGGAGTCCAAAGAGCAAATCCCCGTATGGCGCCTCGATTGGAGAGCAGAAGGATGCCCTGGTCACCATCACAGATGACAAAGACAGTACGATCAAATACACTATAACATGTTAAAGGATTTGATATGGAAAAGCTTTGAAGTAGCAGCCAGGGGCAGAGCCAGATGGTGGGCTGTGGGGGCACTGGGCCCATCAGACGGTAAAGGTAAATGGGCACCATACCATTACCAGGCCCCTGCGCCCCCCAGCTTAGAAGATAAACATCTATACAAATAATATGGCATTTAGCATTAACATAATACTAAACAGCAATTATAACTAAAGAGAAAACTATTACATTACCGAATAAAATACAATAATTAAAAATGTTATGCTCTTTTGATTTGCATTGAACAGAAATGTAAGACAGGATATGTTGCTCTAACACCGTGATGCTACGTTCAGACCGCATGCTGCAGAGGCAGCAGATGCAGCTGGTTTTGATGCAAAGTCAATGGTTAGCACGCATCAAGGCGCATCAAAAGGTCCTGCAACCTCTAGAGCAACAGGAGCAGCGCATCTTAATGCATCTGAGCAGCTGAAGCAGCGCCTCTTGAGCTTCTGAGCATCTGAGGCGCGTTGCACAAGAAGCAACTGCTGGAGATGGAAAAATGTAACTTTTGCTACTTGATGTGCCACATAAAGCAGTGAGAGAAGCCGATCTGGGAGCTGGCAGGGAGATAGACAGCACTGCTGATGCAGATCGCTATGATCACTCCCCTTAAAACAGTTTATTAACGCCTACACTAAATTAAAATGGTGCCTGCAGTTTGAATTACCTACATGAGAAACATCTTCCACCCGCCGCAAAAACAGTAACAGAAACCCCTAAGAGGCGACCAGGCCAGAGGCTGCTGTCTAAGGGGAGTTCCAGTGACAGCGCACCGCCGGTGTGCAGGGGTTTCGTGTTGGTCTTACAGCAAAATAATATTTGAAGGCAGGATGGTAATCTTGATAAACTGACTGCACAGATGAAGTTTTCAGGTGGACTTTTTCACTTAAAAACATTATAAAACTACTTTTTACCCACTGATCACAGCAAATATAGTAAAGCCGCTCTCTGCCATTGAACACAGAAGCAGCAGAAGCATGAAAAGCATCTGGACACATTTTACTAGACGTGCTTCAGGAGCATCGAAGATGCTCTTGGCGCACGTCTGACCTTAATGTGAACAAGCATCAAAAATTAAGCAGCAGAAGCTTTTTTGCTGCTTCCAGCGCTTGCGGTCTGAACGTAGCATCAGACTATTTACTTTCCTTTCAATTAACTGGATTCTAACTGCAAGATCACAGTTTGCATCCTGTTTATTGAAAGGAAAATAAATAGTATATAAGAGCGATATACCCAATTACTTGTATTATTCGTCCTCATTAGTCAATGCTAAGAGGCTTTGTTCTGCTAGCAGAACTTTAAACAAGTGGCTCTGGATCTGGTTGATCTCGGATAACTGTTAGATCTTGGCTCCTTTAAGGTAATTAACTCATTAAGCCTTCTCCATCTAGTGTTCTATCCTGTTCCAAACATTAACCTAATGCCCTCCACTTTTAAAAATAATAAACACAACCTGGACAATTATTTTCACCCCTTTTATGGAACTTCACATTTTATTTATATACAACTTATTTTCTTAACTGATTAGATTTTCTGGGAACCAGGCAATAAACACCTCCATTCCCCTGCAGAATTAAAATGAGGTAAGACAGATACCAGCAGCTATAGCCTTATAGCTGAGAACCCAGGTTTACTTCACTGCTATGCAGTGAGGAGGAAGTTTTGATGGTGAAACAATCTGCAGCCAAGAGCGGCAACAGGGGGTCAACCAGCCTCCACAACTATTAGCTGCTAACGATAGGCAAACAACTTGTTTGGAAATGGAGGATGTCTCCTCCTTCGGCTGGAATTGTAACAGCAGACTTGACACAAAGCAATAAAACAGTATAGATGAGTTTGATGTGAAGCAAAAGATGCATGTATCTGGAAGCTCCTCCCACTGTTTAGTTTAGTAATGCTGTGGGCCTGGTTAAAGCCTCTTTGGGTCCTTGTTAGGGCACATTTCTTCACTGAAATTCATTTCAGAACACTGAAACCAGGTCGGAGAGATAAAAAGATCATTTCAGAAAGAAACAATCCAAATCTAGTGACCTTAGAATCTGTTAGCCAGACTGACACCATGAACAACAGCCAATGACCAGAAGAAAAGGAAGCTACAGAAGATGTAAGGACAAATGTGTTTTAGTTTTTATGTGTTTATGCTGAGTTTCTGTGCAGCTAGAAAACTCTACTTACAAACATTTTTATTCCCTATTTCTGGTTTATTTTATAGCAGGAGTATTCATAACTATTTCTAAGGGGAATTTAGAGGTTAAGAACCAATTATTAATCTAATACACGTTTGCATCAAAGTTAAAGGTTGAATTTTTCTAAGGCTGCTCCAAGCAAGCTGAAAAAATAAACCAAGAGGTCAATATTATTTCTGACTTCTACTGAAATAATCTGTGGGGATTCTCACTGGTCTTATTGGATTAACTTTCCTTTTTTAGAGCCTATCATCCGTTTTTCGGAGATCAAATACAGCGTGCGTGAACCTCAGGTCAAAGGTGAGGTGGCCAGAGTGAAGATTCCCATCCTGCGTTTTGGAGACACATCAAAGCTCTCGGTGGTGAGAGTGCACACGAAGGATGGCTCTGCAACCTCTGGAGAAGATTATAACCCGCTGTCAGAGGGTAAGGGGCCCTGGTCTGGGCTTGGGCTGGAAATCCTCTCAGCTGATCCGTCTTTACCTTCCGTTTTGTTTTTAAGATGTGGAGTTCAAGGAAGGAGAGAAGGAACATTTTGTTGAAATCGAGATCCTGTATGATGGTCAGAGAGAGATGAGAGAGGCCTTCACAGTTCACATGAAGCCTGATGACCACATGGTGGCTGAAATACAGGTGAGCTAAAGACCGCATGGCGCCAAAAAACAAACAGCCTGCGCACGGGAACACGCCTCCCGTCATGTCAGCCCGTGTTAAAATAGGCAGGCAGCAGCTGGCCTCGCTGTCAGCGCAGCAGAGCCGAAGCTCAGCTCTTTAAAAAGCTTTTCCCTCTGGAATGAGATGCTGAGGGGAATGTCCCTGCAGAAGACAAACCTATAAACAGAACGGGGTCATTCTAGCCGTACGCTCTGCAGCAGCCGCATGCCATTCAACCCAGAAATAGATCATCACTTTTAAAATTGCTTTGTGCTTCGTGATATTGTAATTAAAGCTGTGAATCCCAAAGGGAGCTCCTCTTTAAATCTGCATGTATGGAATCACAGCATCTCTGATCTGATTACAGATTACAGTCAGAGTCTGAAAGACCAATAAGAGGTAAATTAGCCACAGGAAAAAACGTGACATGGAATGAGTTATATTGGTCAAAATTAGAGAGAAAATGGACATTTGAGATGATTGAAGAGAACCAGAGAGCAGAACTGCTGACCTATCGGTTAATGATCAGCACAGATCTAGACTGTTAGATCGTGGCTAATTTTTTAGCAAAGGAAGGAAAACCATAAAAACACTTCCTATTTTACCACATTAGAGATAAGACCACAGTATTTACTGTATGTTTGTATTTATTTCACCCCTAAATAAAACCCAGTCCAACCTACTTGTTTCAGAAGCTAAAGACAGTCGACCTGTGTGTGATTTAATCTCAGCGATAATGAAGCTCAGATGTTCTTTAGTGAACAAATAGGCAAATAGGCATAGACCAGTATCGGGGTATTGCAGGCTAACAAAGAACCCAAACAACTCTCCATTCCTAAGGGGCGGACCCTTTCTTCTGGGTCAGTTTGCATGTTTTCTAAGCCAAAAATAGGCTTTTTTTTTTTGGTCCTTTCTCTAAAGCCTCAAACTCAACGCTATTTCTGACATTTTAAATGTAAAAAGCTTCCTAGATGGGAATCGAAACGTTTTCAAACTTGGAAACAAATTCCAGTAGATTGTTTTTTTTTTTGGAATGATGTTGACCTGGATGACTGAGAACCGTTGGAGAAGTTACAGTTTCCTCCTGTTCCTCCCAGATGAACAAGGCCATGGTCTACATTGAGGAGATGGACAGTGTTGCAGATGTCACCTTCCCCGCAGTGCCTCAAGTGGTGTCTCTCCTCATGTATGATGACACAACCAGAACCGGAGACAGACCCAACCCACCAAACGGCTACCCTGTAGTGTGTGTGACGGTGGGTCCAGTCCTGCTCCTTCTGCTCTCTGATCATCAAACGTTGCTTATCTGAATGTTTTTCTTAACTGTTTCTCTGCATTTCCAGGCCTGCAACCCAAAGTACCACGACTTTGATAAAACAGGCTCCCTCTGCTCTGCAGAGAACATCAACGACACTCTGACCCAGTACCGCTGGCTGATCAGCGCTCCCACCGGACCCGACGGAGTGACCAGCCCCATGAGGGAGGTGGACACCAACACCTTCTTCACCAACACCAAATCCATCACCTTGGACTCCATCTACTTCCAGGCCGGGTCCAGAGTTCAGTGTGCAGCCAGAGCCTTCAACACGGATGGCCACGCTGGGCTGGAGCTGTCCAGTCCCATCGTCATCATCAGTACTGAGGAGGGTGAGTTCTAGAAGAATCCGTCAGCTCAGGCTGATGCCTCTGTGAGTTCAGTAATTTGCAACGGCTTCCACTCCCCACAGGAATGTGTCAGCCCAGGGTCCCGGGAACTGTTGGAGCAGAACCTTTCTCAGCCAAGATCCGCTACACCGGTCCAGATGATCCAGACTTCCCAAACCTCATCAAGCTGACCATCAGCATGCCTCACATGGATGGTGAGTTTCTTCCATGCTTGGTTCCATTTAGCTAAAGACCAAATCAATCTACCGTGAACTTGTGCCCTCCCCCCCAGGAATGCTCCCAGTGATCTCCACCAGACCTCTGTCTAACTTTGAGCTCACCCTGAGCCCGGACGGCACACGTGTGGGGAACCACCGCTGCTCCAACCTGCTGGACTTCAACGAGATCCAAACCGCCTACGGTTTCATCACTGATGCGACAAAGAACCCTGAGATCATCGGGGAGACGTCGCCATACCAGTACAGCGCCGCCATGCGTTCAGCAAACTCTCTACGCTTCTATAGGAACCTGAACCTGGAGGCCTGCCTGTGGGAGTTCACCAGCTACTACGACATGTCCGAGCTGCTTAACGACTGCGGTGGCTCCATCGGCACCGACGGACAGGTGAGCCCCACTTACCCAACCCAGACCCAGGCTTTATGACATCAGCGGTGACTTAAAGCTGCTTCAGGGTGGAATGGTTGCAAGATTTCACTTCTAGTTTCATTGAAGGAAAGGTTTTCAACAGATGCTTCCACCTGTAAACTCTGCTGTAGTCCACAGTATTCTTAAATAAAACCTGAGATCCTCTGTCCACCAGCTGAGTCTTTGACCCGACCGCATCCTCAACAGGACAGCAGACAGATAGTGGGACACCTACAGCAGAAAGGCTTAGAGGATAAACTGAAGGTGTTGGAATGGCCTAGTCAAAGACCAAAGCTCTGCCTGAATGAAGCTGCAGTTATTATAAGGCCCATGCCATTATGTCATCAGTCTAACCAATCCTTAGTATGTTATTTTTGGGGCCAATATTCCTTTTTCTTGCGCAATTTGTGTGATAAAAATGACTCAAAGGAAACAAATGTTACACAAGTCAAAATTAAAACAAGAAGAAAACTTTAATATAAAAATTCAAACAGAACATTTACAATGATAGAAGAGGAGGGGAGCAGTGCTGCGTTAGCTTTACCTGATCTAAAACAATGGCTGCTGAGCACAATGATGAAACCACAAACAGATTCAGGTATCAGCCGATGCACATACAGAAAAAGCACTAATACAGCGGCTGACATCCATCTCTGATTGAAACCTCTCTGATATGAAGGAATGTTCTAGAGGAGACTGGGTCCAAGTTCATCCACAGCAGCCTGAGAATGAATACAGGAGACCACTACTTTGGGTTTTGAAGGTGTTTCCCCAAACTGCAGTTTCTATGCTGGTTTCATTCTAGATAAAAACAATAATTAGCTCTATATTTCACTAAAGATGCATCGATCTGATACTTGGATCGGATATTTCTGATATCCAGAGCACTTTACATGGAATTATTATTTCTTTCTTTTTGTGTTGCTTATTTGTTAAAGTCGTAGGGAAGTCATATTTGAATGTCAAATCATTCTGGCTTAAACACGTATATAAATGTATTCTTTATCATATGATTTTGTCCCAAAAGTTAGAACATTAATATTTTAAAAAAAAAATCCGGTTTTAAAATCTGTGGTTTTTTTCCCGTCATCTTATGCAGGCCAATTAGTTATACGTCAGCTTGTCGACCTAAATTCGGCCAATCATATATCAACGATCATCTGTCAATCAAATGTTTTCGGTCATTGCATTTTGATTCATATGGCACAGCTAATATAGCAGAAATCAGAAATGCAACTGTTGGAACAGCCGTTTCCCTATGACCTTAATTAGGGATGCACGATATTGGGATTTTGGCCGATATCCAATACTTTAAAACTCATGTAGCCGATA